TTTTTTTTTTTTTTGCTTGTTTTATTATCTATTTGGGATTTTTTTTTTCTTTAAAAAAATCCCCAGAATGCATTATAAATGTTCTGTCCCTAATTTCCTGAAGCCGTTTAATTAATACAAGAATAATACTAAAATTCACCCAAGGCTAGAGCTTTCATATTTCTGTTCAATTTGTCATGTTGTGCCTGCATTTTTTGGTAGAACTTGGTCCTGTCAGTAACCTGAGATTGGTAATGTCTTGTAGCTGGAAACTTCCACCATGCAGCTGCCTTCAAACTCAATAGGGAAGGGAGTGACACGATGACTTGGCTAGCAGATACTTCAGTCTACATCCATCTCCTTTTTTTCACAAATCTCTGTGTTTTTAACTCCTCACTTGGCAAAAGAGCAGTCCAAATATTACTGGATTGTAAAGCATAGTGTTGGTACCAGAATTATAAATAAAGGCGATCGTGAAATACCAGCATAATGATTATCATGAAAGTGAGTCATAGAGGACCGTGCTAGGAGGAGTAACGTACCACAGTCATTTGCAAATGAGTGGGTAAGACTCATTTCATTAATGCTTCACATTTCAAGATATCAGGTGGGGTTTTTTTGTTTGTTTTGTTTTCTTTTTTAATTCTGATTTCCATTAATTTCAATTAAAGGAGGAAATGGGTTCTTCATCAGACTCCTATCATATATTTTTGTTACTTATGTTTCAACACAGAAATCACAGTTACTTCAATAACTATAAATGACAATAATAATATTTTCAGCATATGCAGTAAGTGGAAAAATCAAAGTTGGAGGAGAAATGTGATAAAATAGGATGTTTAATATGAAATTTCAGGATGCCAAGTTTTTCATACTAAAAATACCTGACTCCTGACACAGTTGAAGATACTCTCCTAAGCTATTACATATTCTTTTGCCAGATCCTATTCCTCTTCCCCTGGATGCTTGGTCCTCATCAGCCATTAAGTTATGACTTTCTTCTCAGGAATTACTTTAGCACTGAGAATAAAAGTTAGCCTGATGACATGTAAAAAACATTCTCCCAGATGGTTCTTGCTGATGAGATTTACACTTCCAAATTTTGAGGATCCCAGCTCTCAGAGGCACTGGTGTAAAAGTTGCCAGAAGGCAGAAGGCCATGGAGGTCCCTTTTGCCTCTAAAAGTGTAAATCTAGTTAATTCCATCACGATGAGAAGGAACAGTGACAGGTTTGTGGTGCTCTTCATTTAGGTTTCTTTGAATGCCTTTTTCTCACCATTCCCACTGCATGCAGGGATTGCAGAACAGTGCCTGCAGTGCACCCAGTAATGAAGCACTCCCACAGCCTGTGCCACAGGAGAGCACTAAAGCAATCTGAGCCAGCTTATAAAAATCCAGTGGTGCTGACTTGGCTGAGCAGTTAACATTTGCCTTTCCACTTCACCAGCCAAGTCAGGACTCTGGCCATATGCCAAGGTCTGCTGCTTAAATGTATATACAATGAGCAAAGAAAAGAGCCAGATCATTTTGCCTGTATTTTCTAGTGTGAGAGTCTGTTGCTGTTGGTTTTTTAATTGGGCCCATTTGAAGTTGCTTCCTCCTGTTCGGTTGACAGGTCAGTGTATTTTACACCGCCTTCTGGCTTGCCTGATCGCTTTTGCAGCAAATTGAAAATGAAATGACTCAACCCAGCACAGGCCCTTCTTTGTTGCTCTGATAATGTGTAGTTTAAAAGCTCTTGAGTTTCTGCCAAACACCAGGAGTTGGCCTTCCATCACCCTCAGTGCTACGGTCCAGTAATGCAAAGGTTACTGAACTCACTGCTGCAGCTGTGAGATATGAGATACATCACTGTGAACCTGCTGTGCTATAACCAAGACAAGGGCAGCTGAGATGCCGCCCTGCAAATCAAAAGCGTTCAGAATTCATATGAGTCAGTATAAAATCCAAAGTTCTAAATATATTACTTTGGATTTGGTCCTGGATCAGAGATGGCACCCTACAGAGCCCATCTGAAGACTTTGGTATCAACACACTCAAAGATAGTTCATAAGAGATAAAAACATGCTCTCTTTGAGGCTAAATATCTTATGAGAATCATTTGCTAGATCTTATTGCCACTTAACTCTGATTGTCTGTTGAATCCAAGCCCTGAATCACAATAAACATATGATACACATCTTCATACTTGCATCTCTTTAAAGGAAGATAGAGGTAATTTCTTCACTCCACTCTGGATTTCCTTGGCTACCTCAAGACACTGTAGCAGGCTGGTTACAGCTTGTGCCCCCCTTCCAGAATTGGTTTCTGGTGGGATTTCTGTAGCCCTGGAGTGGCAACAGGAATCTTGTCCTGACTGAGGCAGCTTGCAGGCATCCCCTTTAAGCACGGGTGTGCATGAGGAATTATTTTAAGTGGTGGCAATGATAGCAGTGAATCAAAAAATCTTCTGCCTTTTACATAGTGAAGTCATTGCAGCTTTAGGGATAAAAAGTGTGTGATATTCATCTTATTGCAGACAAGCCTAGATATCATTAAATCTTGAGATCCATCAGGATGACTTACTGTAAAGGATTCAAGGGGCACCCAACTGTTCATCTACCTTGAAGAAACATTTATTTCGGAGATCAGTACTCCTCTGTGGGAAGTGTCATTTGTCCCAAAACATGTTTGACACGGTGCTTTTCTCTGGTATGAGTACAGAACTCTGTTCTGGCATATTCCAGAAATCTGAGGATCGAATCTGCAGATTTCTCAAAGCTGAGGCCAGGGTACTGAATTTGCACTTTTGAACAGGCCTGTTTCAGTGGTTTCTTCACTAGGCAGCTGTCAGAGAGCAAAAGACCTTGTAAGGGTAACCCTTAAACCGAGCTACATGGCTTGGGGCAGGATGCATCTCTTCTCCGATCTTGTTGCCAGCTTCTCCTTCCTATCTGCCTGATGATTTCCTAGGTAGATATTTTCCCAATTTATTCTGTGTATTTTGTTTCCCAGATGGCTGCATACATCATAATGCTGGCAGTTTAGGAAGCCCTTCCCATGAGATACTGCACACAGCAGTAGAGAGGCCCAAAAAGTACAGTACCTTGTACTGGAAGTTATACAGTGCTGGATAGCATATGCCTATACTCAAGAGATGTGTGTCCTTCAGGTATAGTGTCTATCAATAATTTATTGGCCTGCACCCATCCACTTCAGGCTTCTGATTTATGGGTTAGAATGATCAAGCTTCCACTTACATAAGCTGGAGAATCAAGTACCTGCAGGCATCCAGGATCACAGACATATTTGCAGAAACAAGCAGAATCTCTCTTCCAAGAATCTGCAGGAAGCTAATGTAGTATACAAAGCACTATACTGAAAGTGGAGAAACCTGGGCTGAAGAGGCCAAGAGATGTGCTAATTTGACTCCTGCCCTCCATGATCCTTTTCAAGATTTTTGAAGCATCCTGAGAATTTTCACTGCTCTCTTTGAAGAAACACTGTCTCCAAACCCTGTGGTCAGCTATCCCTAGTCTCTCCAACTGTGAAGCACATGAACCTCTGTTTCATTTCTCATACTGTGAGCAAGGAATACCCTTTAAAATTGGGTGCGTGTCTCAGAGTGTGCTGAGAAGTAGCCTTTTTATCTTCCGGACTGAATGCCAACTGAATGCCATACCAGTCTGAAGGAGGAAGTTTGCTCTGTTTTACTTGCCTGTGTGTAATAGCAACACTTGTTTGGTGGAATTTCCTAGCTACATTCTTATGGCCATTAAAAAAAAAAAAAAAAAAAAAAGAATGAACAGGTTTTACCAATCAATCATGCAGACGATTTACAGGAAGTTTTATTTTCTCTTTATGTTAGGAATTTGAATTGAGTTTGGTTTTCAGCATATTGGTCTTCTTTTTTCTA